CCAGGGCTGGACTCGGCAGAGGCATGAGTAAGCAGCTTCCAGGAGGCCCAGGTGCCGGCTGGGCCAGCTCTTTGATTCCTCTTCTGGGAGCAGATGCAGACTGGGAGCTGGGCCTTGACCAACGTCCTCCAGTCCAAGGAGAGCAGTCTTGGAGCCATACTGTAAAATTTGAGTGGTTTCTTGGTATAAATGCTTTTATCTACCAGACCCACTACAGAGCATATCTCCAAGAGGGGCAATGGATGGTTGGACAAGATGATCTTTAAGGTCCCTTCCAACCTAGAAGATTCTGTGATTCTGTAATGGTGTAGAATCACAGACTGGTTAGAGTTGGAAGGAATGTTAAAGATCATTGCATTCCAGCCCCCTGCCATGGGCAGGGACACCTCCCACTAGAGCAGGTTGCTCAAAGCCCCATCCAGCCTTGCCTTGAACACCTCCAGGGATAGGGCCCCCCCAACTTCCCTGTTCCAGTGTCTCACCACCCTCACAGGAAAGAATTTCTTCCTCATATCTAATCTAAATCTCCCCTCTTTCAGTTTAAAACCGTTCCCCCTCATCCTATTGCTCCACTCCTTGATCCCTCCCCATCTCCCTGTAGCCCCTTTAGGTACTGGAAGGCTTCTGTAAGTTCCCCCTGGAGCCTTCTCTTCTCCAGGCTGAACAACCCCAACTCTCTCAGCCTGTCCTCCTAGGAGAGGTGTCCCAGCCTTCTGATCTGGCTGTGTAAAGGACAGCAATGATGTTTAGGCAGACCAGGAAGGCCAAGGACAGTCTCCTGGCCACAGAGGACTCTTGGCAAGGTTGGAAGAGCAGCAGCTTGATCGAAGCACGGGGTGCAAGAGGACAAACGCTTCTTGTGGTGCCAGTGCCTGTTTGATCAGTGCCTCTGCTCACTCCCACCCCTCTGCTGTTCCCACACTGCTCTTTGCCAGGCCACACAGAGGACCATGAGAGGGGACAAATCTAGCCCAAACCAGGAGCAGGAAGGCATTAGGAGCAAAATCAAAATAATAGGCTACTTAGCTGTCCCAGCTGTAGCTGGGAAAACTCAAACCAGGCCCTGCTTCCAAGCTGGAAATGGTTGCTTAATTGATAAATAGCAATCAGAAGTTAAAAAAAAAAAAAGGCAATTAGCACCTGAGGATTAAATTGGGGGGTGTTAAGAATGTGATAAGGCTGTTAAGGCAATCATACCCCTCTCAGGAAATGGGGGAGGGTGTCATTCCCTGGTAATTGCATTTCAACAGGGTTCAAGCACAGCCAGGTCCCTGCCACTGGACTCAGCTCCTGACCTGGTAATAATTCAGCCTGTCCCTTCAAAGGAAGTAGGATGTAACCTACGGGACATAAAGATCTCCTGAAGGGGCCTTTCAGCCTTGCCCTTCTGGCGCTGGAAGGAGGCTGTGCTGAGTCAGACGAAACTTGGTATTATTTTGGGGATTAATTCCCAGTCAGGGTTCAGTGGAAGCACTGCCAGCTGGGAACCTTCTGGCACAGCTAAGCCTGTTTAGGGTGTGCTACCTCCAGAGAAAAGAAACAAAAGGGGCCTTCCCACCCCGTGTTCCTTGTTGCTGACATCTGAGCTCAGCTCCTTTGGAGATGGCAGCTGAGAGTGGCATCTAGCACACCGGCTCCGTGCAGAATTACATGACGTGGTGTGTGGCTTACACCAGTGGGAAAGCCCTGCTGAGTTACTCTGCTGGATGCAGGAGTCTGTTGACCAGGATCCAAGTCAGGGACCTGAGCAAGAAAGAAGGTATGAGAGAGTTTCTATCTTACAGAAACATTGGGTTTGGTTTTTTTTAGCACTTGATGCTGAGCTTTGCGCTATGGAGCAAGTCAGATCAACTAATCATAAAGATCCTTCCTGGCATTAAAGTTAAGTGATGCTCGTGTGGAATTGTGCTGGCCTGGTAATGGGCTTGGCTACCTTCCCCCAAGCCTGGTGGGGTGGTTTGTGTTAGCAACGGTCTCCCAGGAACTCTCCTCAGCTCTCAGCATCATCTGAAAATACAGGTTGGTCAAGCAGCACTGCAATGCAGGAACAAGCCCAAACTGTACCAGAGCCAGGTAGGAGCACAGGTCCAGTACTGCACCACGGAGTGGAGCAGAGCAAGGCTTTAAAGATGGCTCGGTGGCTTTGGTAGGACACACCATTTAATGAGATAGATAGATTCACCCCCACCCCCAGGAGCTCTGCTTTGTTCGCTGGTTTCAGGGAGTTTTAGGGTGCTCATTGTGCACATGACAGGATATGGCTCAGTGGGATGACTCACCCCCCTGTAAAGTTAATTCACACTTTGCTGCTATTTCCATTCACGGGTTCTCCTGTGAGCTTTAATGCTGGGAAGCTGGGAGCCAGCTCCAAATAATCCCACAGGCCGCTTTACATCTAGCAACCAGCAGTCTGCAGGAGGACAGTGTGGTCTCAGACTTTGTCAAAGAAAGAAAAAAAAGAAAGAAAGCAATTCCCAAATCACGTTTTATCAGCAGTAATTTCCTATACCCTTCTAGTTTCTGAATCATTTGCTCATTACCTCTGCTGCACTGTCTATTTGCTTTCCTGCCTCTCTGCTGAGCTCCCCCAGCAGCCTCATCCCCCAGCTTTTGGAGCAGCTATGGAGCCCCAGATGTGGACAGATATCAGATATGGAGAAATACATATATATATATATATATATATATGTCCTGATAGGTCAGGACAGAGCCATGACCTACCTAAAGCTAAAGGATGACTTCTGTGAGCTATCTTGGATGGAGCCTTTGCATCCTATGTGGCACAGACAAAATTTTTCAGCACTTGGGTAGGGTTTAACTACCAATTTAAGTTAAATAAGGCTGGTGGCTAAATAACCCACCAGCCTAATGACAGGGCAGCGTGTTGTTATTAAGGCTCCAAATGCGAGTCCTACATGGGCTTGTCTCAGAGGGCGCTGGGAGGGCCTCCTGACTGGTCCCTGGATGGTGGCTTATGGGGAGAGGTACTGAAAGCCTTGGATGTTTGCTGCTCCATCCCCCTTGGCAGCATCCACCCTGAGCAGAGAGGAGAATAACTGAGGCAACAGAAGGATCTTGAAAGGTTTCAGCTATGAGGGGATTTTTACTATTGCTAGTGGGGGTCAGGACATGGAGGGAGAAGTGGGGCAATTTCCCTCTTACGCTTTTGTCGATAAGATGGAGTAACACCTCCTCCATCTTTAAGCCCAGCTTACTTTGCCCTGACAAAATTACAAACACATATTGCAGACACTAAAAAAAATTTATTTGAACAAATATTAGACACAATCACAGAGGAAGAAAGCAGCTCTCAGTACAGTTTCTTTTCCAGAAAGAAATAATCCCTGTTTCATACCAAGCTACTGCAGGACAACCCTTGCTCTCCCCAGCAGAAGGGGAGGCTGGTGTTCTTCCCACCCGTGCATTTGCCCCATAGGGGTACGGCGTGCTCCTTAGCAGCTCACAACACAGCCCTTGGTCTCACAGGCTGAAGAAATGCATAAAGACCCATCAGACAAACTAGTGACACAGCAAAGGTGCCTGCACAGGTAGGAAATACACACAGGGATGTGTTGCTGAGTGAAAGCTTTGATCGAGAAGTGGTGTCCCACCTAGAGGCATGTAGGACAAGCCACTTCTAGCTACCACCTTTGTCCTCTCCATCTCTCAGGACTCCTCACTGGACCTGGATGGCATTTCAGCTGGGGGAATCCTTTGAACATTCAGCTCTCTTTGCCTCACCATCCTTCCCAGGTCTCTAAGCCTTACCCTACAGGCAGCTCCAAGGCTGTGGGCCACTTCCCTTGGCAAGAAGACCTGCCCACCTCTTTCATACTGTGATACTGCCCAGGGAGACAGCAGGCTTGTCTCATGTCCTGGGGACTACAGGACCTCCGCCACAAAGAGAGGTGGTTGTGAGAGATGTTTGCAGGCATTTGTTTGGATCCAGAGCCATAGTGCATTTGGTTTTTTACAGGCCCACGAGCTCAGGCACGCTTGCTTTCGGTGCCAGGGAAAGAATCCACAGCTATATCCCCTTCTGTCACATTACTCCAGTGTCCTCAAAGTGATGGGCCATGGGCAGATGCAGAGAAACCCCTGAGTGTTGAAAGCATTGTTTGACAGACCTGTCGCGGTCTCTGCTACATAAACCAGAAAGAAATGTCTCTGTGAAAGACGTTTTAGAAATTGGTGCGAGTTCTGTAATAAAATGTGAGTAGACTCACGGGGAAATCAATCTCCTGAGAAACAGGCGAGAGGGCAACAGAGCAAACACAGTGAACGTTTTCCTCTGGCAGGAACTTCATGGATTTCCTTTGCTTTTGATTTCAGCAGATCAAGCAGTGACTTTTAAGAAAGGGAAGCACAACAGAAAGAAGCCCCGAGCCCTCTGTTCCTGTTCTGGAGCCTCAGGAAGAACAGTACAAGGTAAATTCTGTTCTCCTGCATAGATCTGAAACTGAGGATTTTACTGACCAAGAGGAACTCCCTCTCCTTACAACCCCCTCCTTTAGATTCAGAACTTAATGTATGGACAATATTACCTTGAAATTGAGATCACTTGCAAATTTTCCGATTCCCTACAAGATTCCCTGAATATTAGCATCTCAGCTAAGTAGAATCACAACTTTCATTTATCAATGTTCTTTCTTCTTCCCTTCTCCATTTCCCTCGCTTCCACCTCTTTTTCCTTTTTATCCCCTTCCTTTTCTTCCTTCTCCCTTCTTCTTTCATTACATGCATGGCTCTCCATCTACATTTCACCCTTTGGTAGTGTTACAAACTCTTTGCTCACACAATTTGGTCTCTGCAGGACAGACAGAGCCACTCAGCGCTGTTCCTCACCCGTTCTTTCTCTCAAAACACCACACACACAAAAAGGCCTTTCAAAAGAGGTCCCCAAGTTCTTGACTACCTCTTAAGACAGGGCTACAGCATGGGCACCCATTGGAGTGCAGAGTCCTCTTCAGAGAACGTTTTGCTTAAAGAACTACTGTCCCCAAGTTCATGACTACCTCTTAAGACAGGGCTACAGCATGGGCACCCATTGGAGTGCAGAGTCCTCTTCAGAGAACGTTTTGCTTAAAGAACTACTGTAGCTCCTAGTGTGTTTTCTCTTTAGCCTGCTAATGGCCTTCATTTAGGGAAAACCTTCTCAAAGGTACTCACAATACAAGGCCTTTAAGAAAGAGCACTGCTTTTTCACAGCCAAGTGATTTCTAGCTATTTTGGCAAGCAGAATCAGAGGGGGAACCCAAGTCTCACCTTACGAACTCGGCAGCCCATGTCTGACCACACTGCAGTCACCTGTAACTGCCCCTGCCCTACTCTCTGCCAAGCCTGTAAATCAGCCAAAACACAGGCAGCCTTCAAAAGTCCCTCACGTTTATTATGCTGCATCAGGACCCCATCAGCGTGTGAGCTTCAGAGAGAAAACTGGTTATTTTGAACAATGGAAGGATCCTGCTTGTTCTGGGGTACCCAGTCTTGGTGTATTAAAGGCTCCCATTAGCCTGGGACACTACAGACATGGCCAGCAGGTACTTAGAGCTGCCTGGACCATTCCACATCCCAGCACAATGGAAATCCAGTTTGTTGTCTCCTAGGCATCTGATTCTGTAACCCAGCAAGAGCCAGGTTTCCAAGCCCAGGAGCTTATCATACCCTCCTCGCTGGGGCCATAGGAGCAGTCACTCCAAGAAGGTGCAGAGCCAATATTGGCCTCGGGTGTTTCTTTCCTCCTCCCCTCTTCAGACAAAGCAGAAGAATTTCTTCCAGCGGCACTTGGAGAGAGTTTTGATGCCTTTGGCAGTCATCTTCTTTTCCTGCCGTGCTTTGTGCTCAACACCGCTGACAATGGCCATGTCAAAAACTTCTTTGAGGTTCTTCTGGGTCAGTGCTGAGCATTCCAGGTAGGCTTCAGCCCGGATTTTGTCAGCTAGACCTTCTGCCTGAGGCCGGGCCACGGGCTTCACGTGGTAGCGGTCCAGGCTGATGAGGACATTGACATCGTCCCGCAAGTCTGCCTGTGTCCCCACTAGCAGCACCGGTGCCCGGGGATTGTGAGTTCGTATCTCGGGGATCCATTTCTCAGTAATGTTTTGGAAAGAACTTGGGTTTACCACGCTGAAGCAAACGAGGAAGACGTCGGTGTCGGGGTAACAAAGCGAGCGCAAGCAGTCGAAGTCCTCCTGTAGAAAATGGAGGGGAAAAATAATTTTAAAAAAAAAGGTTTTCATCGGACTGAACTCTAAGATCATGACGCTGCAGTGGCCTTTCCACATGTTATCTAGGACAGCAACAGCCTCAGAGGCAGGGCATCATGCTAACTTTGTGGCCATGCCATGGTTCAGGCACAAGTTTCAGAGCTGAGGAAGACTGTGGTTCACCCATCTGTGTCTGCCTGATCCTGGACTAGGGCATTTCCTTCCTTCCTTCCCAGTTAAACGCTGCCTTCCTCAAAAGCCTGCAAACAGCCCCCGTCCCACAGGACCAAAGCCAACAGCTGCTTTGATAGAGCTTACCTGTCCAGCGGTGTCCCACAGCTGGATCCGGACTGGGGCTCCATCCACCAGGACCTGCACTGTAGGAGAAAGAGAACAAGGCTGAGCCTAAGGGAGTCGTCCAGCACACACACCTACACTCATACAGGTTTTTCCCCACAGCACTCTGGTTTCTATCCCAACGAGCAGACTCGCTGAAGTCACTCAAGTCTGTCCTCTTTGCTGAGCATCCTCCCCAGCCTCGCTGAAACAGCTGAGGTTTGCACCAGGAACATTAAGAGACTTGCAATAGACTTCCTGATTTGGGTAGCCCTCAGGTGTTTTGGGCTCTTCTCCAGTATTTTGAAAGATTCGTTCCATATTACTGGACAACTGCTTCCCTGGAGAAGAAGAGCCCTGAGCCAAATGGCGCCCTGAGAACAGCTTGTTCTTCTTCCACACCCCAAGAAAGTAGATAAACACAAACTGAGGACTTCAGCAACTTGTTCCCAGCCTCATGGCCCAGGGTGGAAGTTCAAATCAGTCCCCATTAAACAAGCTATTGAAGATTTTTCCCATCCAGGCCAGAAATTTGACCTTAAATAAAAGGCCGGGGGAGGAGGGGGAAGAAAAAAAAAGAAGAGAAGAAGAGAAGCATTTCCCTAAGTGTCCCAGTTAAGGAAAAGCAAAGACCTAAAATCAACTTTGAAATGAAGAAGCTATTAAGGAAACAGTGAAGAGTGAAATCCCCTTCAGAGACTATCCACACACCGAAAAACTGCTGAGTTACACATGTAAGGTCTGCTCCCATTTCACTCCCTAATCACAGCAAGCCTTCATGTGGTATCAGCTGACTCAGACTGAGGGCTGGCAGGACCTCTGATGGAAATCTGGAATGAAACTGTTAGATGTCTAAGCAGACAGACACCACAGAGACTGGCGAGGAACCGCGGAAAAAGACAAAGGGGTTGGGGGAGCTGGAAATCCCTTAAAAGTCCTGACAAGGTGGATGGGGCTGTGCTCTGGTGAATAGAGGCAGACATCCTGGCTGAGGTGACAATGGCTGACACTTGAAGCCAGCAAAACGCCCTACTGTGCCCAGGAAGGAGGCTTTATTGTCCTTTCTGTTAAAAAAATCCACCACCAGATAACCAATACAAAACCAAGCCAGAAGCAGGATCAATCTTTTGTGATTCTTAAAGTAATTAGCCAGGTGAGAAAAGTGATAGAAACAACCCAACTTGAAGGGTTTAACACAAGTTTTGGGAGGAGAGCACTCCTTCTCCCTGAAAGCAGTTTGGGGAGGAGGGAGACGTAGACAAAAGATGAACTGAAATTTGGTGGAAGACTGAAGGAAAAACGAAGGGGTGGGTGCGTCCACCACAGCGCCACTCCTCGCGGCGGAGCTGAAAGTCCTTTCTTCCTTGTGACTGGGAAACGGTTGGGTTTTTACCATATCTTTGCCCCAGAGGAGGAAGAGAAACCTGTTCCTGATCAAAGAACCTGCTAGATCCTGACTTGATCTTCAAGGCACTGGGCATTTGCCTTTCTAGTATCTGGTTTCTTCTGTCTCACCAGCGCGTTGGGAGAAGGAATTAGCATCTCTGAAATGTTTTACAGGCTTCAGAAGAAAGGCACCATGTATATTACCTGCTGCTCCAGTGCTTGCACAGGGTTTTTTTGTACCTGCTGCTAACCTAAGCTAAGCTGGCAGCTCTGTGACAGCCCTCCAAATACCGCCCTCGCAAGGTCCACACCCTCAGGATGAGGCTGGATTTCGGTACAATAGCGAAGGGGCCGGCAGAACAGGATGGCCTGCTGGAGAAAGGTCACCGGGTACATGTTTCACTCAAGGCTTCTCCACCTGGCAGTGACACCCAGGCGGAGGTGGCACCCAGAGAGATGTGGCTGGGTCACAGTCCCAGCGCCGTTCCCTGATAAGGCGATACTTTCTCCTGTCTCGTTATTGGCATTGCAGCCCACGGACCAGAACTAGGGTTAGGATGTAGAACTGTGAACCTCAGTTCTGCTTGGCAATTCCAACTGCAAGTATTCCCCAGGAGTGGAGCGAACGGGGCTGAAATTGCTGAAATGGATCTGGAACCGTACTTTGTGAAGCCGAGGAGGGTGTTTCTTCAAGCTTATCCAGGTTAAGAGTAGGGGTGGGGAGGGAAACATATCTATTCTCCCATTTCCTCCCAATAAGCAAAAAGTGGACTTTGGAAGACCTGGTTTTAATGACTTTGATTTCTACCAGTTGTAAATCTGGCTTAGTACTTGGACGTCAGAGCAGGGCTAAGCCTACATGTAGCTATCTTCAAATTCCTTGCTGCTCATCGGGGAGTGTCTCAACTTTCTGGAGAGGAGGCTAATAACTATGGTAATTTCAAGCCTTTCTGAGCCCAAACTGTACACATCAGTGTAAAGAGAGCAGAGAGAGCCATCATCTTTCCCCTGGAGGACTCGAGGGCTCCTTCCATCTGTTCCCAAAGGGCTGCTGAACCCTGAACAGCAGCATGTTCCCAGCTCGTTTCCTTCAAGGGACAGTGGAAGAGTCTGGAGAGGTTCAAGGCAAATTCCTGGTGTAAGAGTGAGCAACTGGAGGGACAAACAAAATGCTCCCTCTAAGGTTTTAGAGAGGGACATTCAGACAAACAAAATGCTCCCTCTAAGGTTTTAGAGTTCCCTCTAAGAACCCCTGAGACTATGACACATTAGAAGACTCATTCCTGGTCTGACTTAAGCCCATCTCTAATCTACTGATCTATACTGTCATGTACTGTTGTGTTCCTTTGTATCGGATGAAGAGCAGAAACCTTTCAAAGGGCTTTGTACTTTTCCTGGGGTTTATATTAGAAATTGGAGCCCAAAAGAAGAGGAGAGGAGAACAAGAACAAAGATGGCATTTACAAAAGTGGAAACTAATGAGAGCTCATCAGCTGACGGGGAAGGCAATTCCAGCCAGACTTAGAAACCTCTTCAACTTCTTGGCAACCTCTGTTCAATGTCAGCTTCAGTGGACATGTGGGGGAAAAGGATGTTTTTCCGAATATCAGCTGAAGCTAGAAAGCCCACAGTGCGACGCTGCGATATTTCTGGAGCCGAAACCCACCACCACTACCAAAAAAAACCTAAGTCCTCTTCCATTTATCCGTAATAACACCACAAAACCGGGAAGGTGCCCCAATTTCGCACAACTCCAAGCCGGCTTGACACATGCAGCCACAAAATGCAGGAGTGGGACCTGCTGAACTTCACAAAGCCCCCAGGGGGACTCGGTCCACGCTGCATGACACCCTCCGGGGCTCCGTGACCCCCACACCCGCAATGCCACCCCCCCCCCCCCCCGGCTTGACACATGCAGCCACAAAATGCAGGAGTGGGACCTGCTGAACTTCACAAAGCCCCCGGGGGACTCGGTCCACGCTGCACGACACCCTCCGGGGCTCTGTGACCCCCACACCCGCAAAGCCACCCCCCCCGCCCCCCACGGCGTGCAGCCCCCGCCGCAGCCCGCCCCGCCCGGA